TACATTATATTTCTTAGCTTAAGGGAACAAGTTAACATGAGTATAAATTTCACAGATATGATAAGCACTAAATCCACCTACAAGAAGAATATTACTGGGCAACTTAATCAACGAAGTGTTAAGTTTGAGGATTTTATCTCTTTCAGTTGGTTGTAATTGATGGACGAGGGTCACCTATATAATATTTGCCTTTAATGGAAGAGAAAGTGTGACAGGTGATTCGGAAGTTACACATTTCTTCAAATCTATCGCGGAATATACGAACGACTAATCTATATAATTTCTCCAACTCTGTGATTGTTCCCTCCCTTGTTCACTTATTCAGTGTAGCTAAGATAAGGAATTGTTCACCATAGGCAAGATGAATTTACCTGATATACATATATCCTCAGATATTCCTCAATACGGCAAAAGTCATTCGAAAGAATACAATCTCAATCTCTGCTTGAAAAGTTCACATCCAGTTTCTGCGAACGGATCCGGTGGCGACGAAAACTACATAGACTGGTCCAACACCACTAACAACGGAGGCAAACTGATGGAAATTCTGTGGATGGAGTGTTTGGTAGACTTATGATGACTATAATGCGGCTATAGAAACTATACAGCTATGATTCTTTTTACTGAATTGTTTTTAACTCTTTTAGTGTAGATATGTACTCTTTCGTTCTGAATTATTTTTAACTTGATTGATTATTGTTTCCTCGCAAATATATGCATTTATGTCGACTAACTTTGTCTCTTTTACTTATCATTTCGAGGACATTGCAGAGTTAACGAGAATGATGGGCAATGTAGTAATACTTATGTGAAATTCGTCAGTCTTAAACTGTTATTATTTCCTCAATGAGTCGCTAAGCTTGTGTAAAGTGTTTCAGTTACGTTTGGTCCGGTTGCGTTTAATATTAGTACTCGCGATTATTAAAAAAATAGCTGTCGGACCTGTGTTTGTACTGTAATAACGAAACATAATCTAGCAAACGAAAGTTCTATACGTACACGACCTATATTGGTGACCTGGGCACTTCAAGTACAGTATGCAACGTATATCCTAATTATCACAAATAGTCTGGTAGTCTAATGATGCGCTTAACACCACACTCTCAAAGGAAATTATTAGGTAATAAAGAGATAACTACATTACTCTTGTGTCATCATTTCGTATCAATAGGCACATACATGATCAAATCAACACTTAGACTTGTGTATTAGTTAATGACGTCACTGAAGTTCATTGGTTATTTTGTTATTATAAAATACAGCAACTGATTAGATAGGTTTTTGTTGTGCATATCGCATGTTTAAGGTTTACTAGCGAAAGCAATAACTCAAAAGCAATAACAGTACCTCATCGTGACCAAATTCAACTACTTGTAAATATGACATTTTACGAATATTACGTCTTCTACACTGGTATCAGTTTTTAACTCGACAAAAAGTAGGTATTAATAGTGCATGAATGCAGAGAAAAAGTTTTAAAACATGTATATTTCGATAAATACATTCGTAAAGTTACAAATATTTTATCATTTACACAAATGTTAACCTTTTTAATCCCATTAGAACGTCTAAATGTACTGGATGATTGAGGAAGTGAAGACCATAATCTGGAGACTAAAAATCATAAAAATTCAATCAGATAATGATGAGTTGAATAAAACGACTTAAAACTCAGTACATATCCATATAGCAATCTCGGATACCGTCCCTTTAGTCACAACACAGCCCAAGAGAAAGACGTCATGGTTGAAGAGAGGCACGCAACGTATTCTGCAAGCAAAGCGGAAGGCTTGGTTTACGTGGCGTGTATCTAAGAGTCAGACCGACCATGATGCATACCTCGAACTCAGGAACCGGTGTAATGCAAGAGTCAGGAGGGACAGAAGGTCATTCCAGGCTAACCTTGCTAAAAAACTCCTATCAAACCCTAAAAACTTGTACCGATTCATGTCGGAAAGAAAACCGACAAACCAAGGGGCATGCGCCTTAGTAGGCCCAAACGGTCAATATCTCACTAGTCTGGAGATGGCTGAAACATTCAGTTCAGCCTTCGCTAAACAGCTAAACAGCAATGTGGATATTACAGTTACGGACCAAAATGGTGGCACCACTATTTCAGAGGAGGAAGACCTAGCGACTACTCCCCAAATAAACCCCGCAATAGTACTAAGGAAGCTACAGCGACTCATACCTGGGAAGTCCCCAGGTTGTGATGACATCAGGCCATCTGTTCTGAAACAGTGCGCCGAGGCTCTCTGTAGACCCCTGTGCGACTTGTTCCAACACTCAATGGATTCGGGGACCCTGCCAAGGGAGTGGAAAAGAGCCATCCTTTCTCCAATCTTCAAGGGTGGGGACAGGCAAAACGCTGCTAGCTATAGACCAGTAGCTCTACTCCCAGTGGTATCAAAAGTACTGGAAAGTATTATTGACGACCACATCAGGGAATATTTCGATAGGACTAATATACTACATGAAGCCCAACATGGTTTCAGAAAAGGCAGATCCTGCGTCACTAACCTACTGTCAGCTTGGGACGACTGGACATCATGCTGGGACTTGAACGTACCAGTCCATGTGGTCTTCCTAGACTTTGAGAAGGCATTTGACACTGTTCACCATGACCTTCTCCTACATAAAATAAGCCAGGCAGGCATAGGTGAGCCACTTCTGTCATGGTTGAAGGACTACCTAGCCGACAGGCAATTTTGCACTAAGGTTAACCGAGTCCGATCATCTTGGCACAGATCGTCATCAGGAGTGTCGCAGGGTTCTATCCTAGGACCACTGATGTTTTTGATTTTCATCAATGATCTACCACGCCGTCTGAGCTGCCCGACTCTCCTGTACGCTGACGACGTAAAAATATGGAGGGCGATAAAGTGTCCGGAGGACTCAGATAGGCTACAGGAAGACCTAAACCTTCTGGAAGACTGGGCGGTGGCCAGTGGCATGACTTTCAACTTGAAAAAGTGCAAAGTAGTGAAGTTGCGCACCTGTAGACTGCAGAATGCAAGTTACACCCTGTGCAATGAAAGCTTGTCCTGCACAACGTCGGAACGCGACTTAGGTCTAGTTCTAACGGAAAAAATGGACACAAGCGTAAATTACACAGGGGATGTAGCGAGGGCATATGCGGTCATACACTTTACGCATAGACAGTTAGGTGCACTCACTCCTGAGCTCTTTCTAATGTTGTACAAAACATACGTCAGGCCACACCTTGAGGTGCATAATATTATTGCACCCCCAATGCTGAGAAGAGATGCCAACCTCTTGGAAAGAGTCCAACGACGGGCAACAAAAGGAGTGGTTGGTCTCCGAAACAAACCATATGATGAAAGGCTGAAGAAATTAGGCCTGTTCACACTTAGTTACCGTCGGCTTAGGGGGGATTTGATTACTGCCTACAAAATAACAAATGACCAGAATCACCCAAACAAAGGTGTTCTGCCATTGAGTAGGTATAGGCTTCCACGTGGAAATCCCAGAAGGATAGCTCACCAGAGGGCAAGGACCCGGGTGCGCTCCCACTTCTTTTCACTGCGGGTTTGTCGTCCCTGGAATTCCTTACCGGCAGATGTAGCTATGGCACCGTCTTTGGACGCCTTTAAGCGAAGGCTGGACAACCATGCAGCGATACAAGGACTGCATCCAAATGGCCTATCTCCTTAAAATCGCATTTACCAATCAGGGTAGATAATTAAACTCGTCATTTTACTTCTTTACATTCTCTCCCGTCTTACTCTCCTGACAACTTATTAATATTATAATTACTATTATTATTACCGATATATATATATATTATTCTTCAAACTTAATGAGCTGACTGTTGTTACGTTTCCTATTTTCGTTTCTGTCTCTTAGTCTGAATAGCTTCACTAATTATATCTATTATTATTACTATTATTATTATTACTATCTCTTTTCTCTTGTCGACAATACCGAAGGACTAACTGGCGAAAGGATCAACTCCAATCACAGTAGTAACAGTCTTAACATACCTCATACTACAAACCACATATAATTAATCCCAGCACTACTCCCTTTGGAGTCAACCAAAGCTACGACAGTCGAGTGGCGGGACAAGCTACGCAGAAGTTTACCGAAGATCAAGAACCTATACCTCACAATCAAGAAGCGAGCACAAAGAAATCAAATTGGTTTATACTAGCTCGTAAAAAGGATTTTGGATACCAGTTAAACGATGAAATAACCGACTCAGTTTCCTTCCTACTGTGAAATTCGGTAAAGGTCATGACCAAATCAAGGCCACTTGAAACCCAGAGCAACATAGCAACGGACATCGTAGCGGGGATATGATATAAAGCCACTCCTAATCGTCGTGTCCAGGGTATGATGCGACGTTGAGTAATTTTTAATGGGTCTCGCTGTAATGCACGTACATTGTGGGTACCAGGAATGTCAGCTTCATCTAAATAACAGGGATCTTTGTTACTGCTGATCATAACTGAATTTGTAGCTCGGCTAATCCGGTTTCTTCAGTAGACAACACGCAACAGAATATTTATAAATTCTTTTTGTTAGCCCACCTGGAGACTGCTTCATTTTTAGAAGTTGAGTCTGTTGACGTTCACAGATAGTACGAAGTATACTAACACAAGGTAATACCCACAAATTCTACAGTATTCGTCCCGCGTGGACCAAAGACAAAGCCGAACATCAAAAATGATCATCCAAAATACGAATTATATTTCGTGACCAAATCGGAGTGCAAGATGATTGCTTAACTAGCTGTGTTTCGTGTACGAAGGAACGTAACATGACGGCGGGTCAACTGGTGTGGATGCTTGACGGTAAGCCTTAAGCTAAACAAATCGACTTAAACAGTGAGGGTCGGCATCCAATGTTCAGTGATGAATGCTGTGGCTAATAATTCCGTGGAACTACCTACTACTACACACATTTAATGTCGAATCTCACGACTAAGAATCTAGAGCAATGAAAGTAGTTTGGTTCGTCCCGTGATGAAGCGCCGTTTTCAAATGTGTACGGTACAGATCTCCGGAAAGACACGTGCGGTTGTTACCTGAGTATTTTGTCGCTATGGTACAATTTTCTTACTGTTACTCACGGTGCTGTGTTTTGAAAACGTACCTGCATATTTTAGTTATTTTTGTACTGTGATCTATCAGCGTAAGACTGCACCATTCCATTGGAAATGAGTTTTAGATTATAGGGATAAAAGGTTCTTGTTCCTTATGTTAATCCTTGCGATATATATATCTGCAGAGATCCAGTTTCTCTTTGAAAGCATTCACCGGTGGAGCTGTTACTACTCCTTACCTGCAGGTAAGGAGTTCCAGTCGTTGACCACTCCGTGAGAGAATCTAAACTCCACACGTATCTTATTCGACCTCTGTTTGAGCACCATCTTGTGGTGACCTCGTAAATTTATCCTGGAGGGTGAGAAAGGGTTTGAAAGGTCAATCCGAAATCACCCGTGAGTATACGGTAAGCCAAAATTAAGTCTCCTCCTTCAGTGTGATAATGGGAAAAGATTTAAATTCTCCATCGTCATATCATAAGGAAGGTGTGAGATACCACTAAATAATTTCGTTCCTATCCTCTGTACTGTTTACAGGATATGTGCCTCCTGTTTGGAGTACTCTAGATGAGGTCTGACATATAGAGTACTTGGAACATACTCTCGTCTAAACGTTTGAAAACCTTTCGAGGTGCTCATAGCATTCGAAAAGCCTTAACTGCGGCTCGATTACAATTTGGCGTCATTTTTAAATCATGGCTTACAATAATTCCTAAGTCCTTTTGACCCATATAATCTGGCAGAGTTAAACTTTAAGCACCATTAAGGAGCAGTGGAGAATGACTTCAGATGCACCAACCACAAGATAAAAGGTGAATGTTGCGTATATTCATTAAAATATTCCGTAAGAAGGCATGAAACTGTTACACATATACCTTTCTCTGACGTTTGACAGAGATGCCTCTTAGTTTTGCATTGGAGTATCAACGGAGTAATTTAACCACATTCACTGCATGTGTTTATCTAGTTTTAGCCATAAAAATAAGCTTTGTCCTGTAACCTGGCCCTAACTTGAAAATATCCCTGAAATAACCCCATTTTAACTCGAACCAACCATAATGTCACCCTTATTAGGTGAACCTAGCCCTAACGTGCCCTCATCCTGAACCTTTACTTAATGTTCCCCAAACCCGCCAAATATCCCATTTAATAACATAGCACTTCACTAGTCACATATTATTCGTAATGACATTATTTGCCAGGTTTATCTAACTAGCTCAGCGATCGTTTCTGGGTGATTAGCCTAGTCGCATTCCACTGGTATTTACGGGTGCATCAAGTAGCGGTCGTCTGATTTTTTCGAAAGAGGAAATTGACAGACTGGCCACAAAATTGAATAACCTTATTAGAATCGGAAACATAATGATTTCAGAGTTCTTAATAAAAAATTTGGGGGGGGGGTGTTGAGTTGTGCATTTCTCCCAAATTTTTCACTTGTGGTTATGAGCGTTAGTTTCGTGATCGAAAGACCCACAGTCCCAAGGAAACGTAGAACTCATGATAAATAAACTCTAGTAGTCTTCAGGCTCGAGCGACAGTACTGTGACAATATCTTCACTTAAAGGTTTGCACGGACTCCTAATTTAGCGGTAGTGGTTAAAGTAGTTATGTGGCGATCACTTCATTTATTTGGTAAGTTGAGTTGGCCTTAATGACGTGGAGGCAGATAAGACCTCAGCACAGCATTTACCAACTTGCGTCGTCTTTGATGGTGGAGTAATATCCGACAGTTCCACTGAGGGGCTTGCATATTCTGTGGCAGCTCGTTGCATTCTGTTTAACAGTTGTGAAGTATGCAGCTGGAGCTACTAAGTTTGAAAATTGATAGGCTTTTGATCGATCGATCGACGCTTGCACTTGGTGCGGCAACATAGTAGGTAATAATGTGTGTAGGCATATTGTCATCGGGGGAGGGAAAGTCAATCTTTGAGTTTGTGAAGATTCAGTGATCAACAAGTCTAGGACATACTACACGTGGCAAATCACTGCCTCGCTGGATGAACTATGTTAAGTAGAATTAGATTGTAAACGTCTGTAAGTAGTCAGATAAATCTGTGAGATTATTGACTGTTATCTCAACGGCGTGTAAAAGTGTAATCTACCTGGTGCCAGGACCTTGGGTTCTTGAAAATCTGTGGTTGGACACTTCACGAAATGGCTAGAAGATATTTTAGCCTTTTGTCATCCAAACTCTGTTAACGTTCACTACTTCTGACTTATTTATTCTCTAGTAAATTTTTGTCCACTGTAGTTTCTTTCGCATGCTGACAAAAAATAATTGATTTTAGACTTCTGGTAACATTTCTGAAAACTTTACGTCGGATAAATTCTTCACTAGCGTGCATTTAATAATAAGAAAATCCACAGTTTCCTTGCTCAGCGAAGAAATTTCTTTTCAACGACTCTATTTTTAAGCTGTACAATCAGTCGTATTTATATTACAGAAAAAGTTATTAGGTGCCACTTAATAATTGCTCAGTCAATATACATTTGTATGTGATAAGAATAACGATAATTAAAATGTTATAAGCGGCGGAGTTCAAGTGAATGAATTACAAAATTATTAAAGATGGTTTTATAAGTGAATTGATACCGAATATATTTTTTTTAATTGTCAAGTGTTGTCTAAAAATTTTTAAAATTAGGAGTACGATTACGATAAGAATAAAGATGTGAAGTGAAGTGGAATGAATTCAAGTGGTAAAAAATAAGATAAAAAGAAAACTAGAAAAAACGTTGCTATGACAAAGGTAAAGAAAGGGGTTTGACAAAGCGTTTTCGAACACATAATTTAGGTTTCAGTTCATGCACAGCTAAAGCATCGGCTACGCATAAGTGAAGAAAACGTAAACTTTTGGAGCGATTCGATTTTGCCACGTAGATAACCTTGAAGGATGAATCACGTGAGACTGAATGACCAGACTCTAACAGGTGATCACAAATGGACGACTTCGCAGTTCTACGTTCGCCCTTCATTAACCAAACCGGATAGTGTTCAGCTACACGTTTTCGGAGAGTATGCTTACAACGTCCAATATAATCAGCTCCACAGGAGCAGGTGAAAGAGTAAATGTACATAGACGTGGACATAAGCGATAATCTATCCTTGACGCATTGCCTAATCATATGTCGGCTAGTAAAAACTAGTTGCAAGTCAGCTGCATGAAAAGAGCGTTTAATACATTTAGATAAACGATTTTTAATCAATTCAGAAATGGTGTCACCTTTGAATGTAAGACTCATAAAGTTTTTTCTTTGTCACTGTGATTTGTCTAGGGGCGGATTCTTTCTTGATGTTACGTTCAATAAACCTTGTAGGATATCCATTGTTAAGGAGATTTGATCGAAGGTTATCTAGTTCTCTACCGATTGTCTCTATAGAGCATATTTTACGAATTCTGGAGCATAAGGAATGAATAAGATCTCTCTTTCTCCCTAAAGGTATCCAACTGTTGAAGGTATAGTACTGCCCTGTGAATGTTGGCTTTCGGTAAGTCAACCTTAACAGCGTTCCATTCTCTCTTCTAGTTAGCTTAACGTCAAGGAAGTGAAACGAGGAATTCGACTCTTCTTCGACCGTGAAAAGCAAAGATGGGTGAGAACCATTAAATATCCCAAGGAGTTTGGCAGTTGAAGAGTCGAATTCCTCGTTTCACTTCCTTGACGTTAAGCTAACTAGAAGAGAGAATGGAACGCTGTTAAGGTTGACTTACCGAAAGCCAACATTCACAGGGCAGTACTATACCTTCAACAGTTGGATACCTTTAGGGAGAAAGAGAGATCTTATTCATTCCTTATGCTCCAGAATTCGTAAAATATGCTCTATAGAGACAATCGGTAGAGAACTAGATAACCTTCGATCAAATCTCCTTAATAATGGATATCCTACAAGGTTTATTGAACGTAACATCAAGAAAGAATCCGCCCCTAGACAAATCACAGTGACAAAGAAAAAACTTTATGAGTCTTACATTCAAAGGTGACACCATTTCTGAATTGATTAAAAATCGTTTATCTAAATGTATTAAACGCTCTTTTCATGCAGCTGACTTGCAACTAGTTTTTACTAGCTGACATATGATTAGACAATGCGTCAAGGATAGATTATCGCTTATGTCCACGTCTATGTACATTTACTCTTTCACCTGCTCCTGTGGGGCTGATTATATTGGACGTTGTAAGCATACTCTCCGAAAACGTGTAGCTGAACACTATCCGGTTTGGTTAATGAAGGGCGAACGTAGAACTGCGAAGTCGTCCATTTGTGATCACCTGTTAGAGTCTGGTCATTCAGTCTCACGTGATTCATCCTTCAAGGTTATCTACGTGGCAAAATCGAATCGCTCCAAAAGTTTACGTTTTCTTCACTTATGCGTAGCCGATGCTTTAGCTGTGCATGAACTGAAACCTAAATTATGTGTTCGAAAACGCTTTGTCAAACCCCTTTCTTTACCTTTGTCATAGCAACGTTTTTTCTAGTTTTCTTTTTATCTTATTTTTTACCACTTGAATTCATTCCACTTCACTTCACATCTTTATTCTTATCGTAATCGTACTCCTAATTTTAAAAATTTTTAGACAACACTTGACAATTAAAAAAAATATATTCGGTATCAATTCACTTATAAAACCATCTTTAATAATTTTGTAATTCATTCACTTGAACTCCGCCGCTTATAACATTTTAATTATCGTTATTCTTATCACATACAAATGTATATTGACTGAGCAATTATTAAGTGGCACCTAATAACTTTTTCTGTAATATAAATACGACTGATTGTACAGCTTAAAAATAGAGTCGTTGAAAAGAAATTTCCTCGCTGAACAAAAATACTGTGATTTTGCTGATGAATGAGTTGTTATCTTTCGTCATTCATTTTATAACTCTCTCACACATGTTTAATTACATATCTGTAGTTTACCGAAGTTAGATAACTTTATACAGTTCTGCACAAAGTCTCCCGTTGCTTCATGTAATGTAATTTCTCGATACTTTACTAAAAGTGCTGTATATGCGCTTTTCGATGAATTTCCATAGATGTCATAAAGCAAGTTTTCGGCCACCTACTATTCAACATGGCTTATATTAAGTTCCCATTATAATGCCCTACGATTAAGTATGTCTTAACCAGTGTTAACGAGAATCAAATTATTAAATGTGCAATTTGTTGTGATATTTTCAGACCGTCAATGATCCAGATCACTGTTTTGTATACATAAGTATCTGCGGAGTTTCGCAACTGCAAGCTTCTTTAAATATTTATCCAAATGGATCTTGTTTACAAGCTGAACAAAAGCTGTGGGACATCCTGTATTTCACGAAAGATTCTCCAACCTCTGACGTATTCCTTCATGGATTAATTTCAAAAATTGCCCTATTTCGTCATTGTTTAAATGTTATTGGTTCTGAACGTTTGTTCCTGGCAATCGATAAACGACCAACTAGTCATCCTCTGATTACTGTCAGCAATCATCATTCATGTCTTGATGATTTCTTCCTAAATGGCTCTTTGTTACCATTAAAATACTTTGCTAATGGTATGTAGCATCCCAGTATTCAAATAATTTGGTGAAATTTAGTCGCAGTATGTCGTTGGTGCTTGACAGCTGTAGATATATGTTTCACATCATGGTGGCATAATCAATTTTTCTTCTGGTTCAAAGGAGTCCCTGTATGGCGAAGAGTTCATGATCCGTTATCTGGTAAGATAACACATTTCGGTGGTGGAGTATATCAGCCTAGTATGGATTTCTGTATAGATTTATTGAATTCTGGTCAATGGATTCATGTATTTCCTCAGGTTTGTGTAAACTGAATTTCGTGTTTTCAGTGCATTACTTTTGTTATAAAGTGTCCCTGTCGATTCATACCAATGGTTTCAATAGTATGCGATTCCTCAGTGTCTATAGTTCATGTTGTGTTGTTGTTTTTACTTTCATACTCAAACCCGACCGATAGGTACTACCTTGACGTGGTGGTCGGGCTTGCACATCGCGATGACCCAACGAGCTGCACTGGCTGGGACCAATGTTCCTGCAGGTCCTATCATCCCAGGAAGGTTGTTAGGATAGCGATTAGACTAAGAGCAGTTACCGGCATTGTGCAAGAATCTTTCTTACACTATGCTGGGAGTCTGAGGTCGAAGTCGTACTGCTGGGGAACAGGGGTGTAACAGCAGTGAGGTGTTTCCCTCAGATGACCAGCATGCCAGCTATGCTGTCTTTCCACTCCGGAGAGAGGGGGTTGGGAAAGTTCGGCCGCAAAAATTGTACATCCCAACTTACCCTACGGTGGTCCGTAACCGACGGTAAGTTTACTAATACGGAACCAACCTCAAAAGCCAATTCATACAGGCCGTGTGTGACCGGCCTCAAGCAGTTGTACCCTGGTCTCTGCAGTCACGCAACACTCTTTCTGTTCCAGGTACCCCAAGAATCAATCAACTCCAACTGTGTGGGCAGCCGGGAAGTAACAACCTCCCACACACTTCCAAAAGCACACGAAGCCTTCCTGAGCATCACTCTCCTTTACTCATTCATGCTCAAACAGACGGTGAGGATATGTTATATTGTCAAAAAAACTCGACAGCTGTGGTCATTGTTCTACCTTTAGTGAAGCTGAGTGGATGGTTAGAGCAAAACTCGATACCGAACATTTAAGTCGTTGACAGTCAGTTTGAATTACGTAAAATGGTGCAGTCTGCCTGTCTGAAGGCCCTGGTGTTTATAGTGGCACACATGTATTTATTCACTTGTTCTCATCACTCAGACCCTATCATTGTTCATTAGCCTCCACCTAATTATTCTCTCTCCTGTACATCTCCACCAATTGTTGTATTCTCATTGTTTTTCTCCCTACTTGTTTGCTTTTGCGGAGTATGACAAAATAAAAGTTCTGCGCTTTTAGTACAGAAGTCTACGTTGTTATATCAGGAGCTTAGTGACAGATTTCCTCAGAAGCACCATATGAAATCGTGTCACCTTTTATGAAAAAGTATTTGTAAATTAAGTTAGGTAAAAAGTGTTCCATGTCATTTTTGTGATCTATGCTTTGGGTTACTAAACAAAGGTTCACGTTGGTTTCAAAGTTTAGATTTCGTCGCTGACATTTTTTCATTTGGGGTAGTCATTTATCTCATACCAACTGTTAGCATATTTATAAAACTTAGAGAAAGTCGTAAAGCGAGATTCATAGTGCATAGAAAACCATTGACCATAAAAGCCTTTCTAATTTAGTACTCATTTATTAGACTGACTTGGCTTTCTATAACCAAGTTTTAAATATCGTGTAGTTTTGCATTAGTTCTGATTAGATGTAATGACAATATTGATCCAAATCATTTCAAGCAGTAATTATTCGAGTGTTTGAAACTCCCAGTAATTTTTAAACTACTTAGAACTACTTTGAAGGTCACTTGAACATTCTAAACAGCTATGCGGTGACAGAAATTATTTTTCGGATTGAAAGAGCATAATTGCCCATCATCGGCCTGAAACTGAAGACCGTTATTTCCAGCTCACATGCAACACTTCGTCTTTTATAAGGAAAAATACATGAAATCCAAAAAATCATCAGCCATAGGCTTTCTTCCTTTTTCTATAATCAGACTGAATGTGAGAAAAGACAGAACAATTTCATACATTTATTCCCCCTTAATGAATTTGAACAAAGCAAGAACTACAGTTTTAGCAAAATAATATGTTACCATCATTTATTTCGTTGGCTTCTCATCAGCTGCTTACAGCCTAAATAAATTATGAGGTTTAAGTACAGACATGTTTTAACATACTTGCAAATTTTACATGTTGTCAGTTGACAGAAATTTCCACAATTAGTAAACAGTGCTCAGAAAATTGCGCTTATATAGTTTTCACACAGACAGTTCAAGTTAAAACAAAATAAATGTATGCAGAAAATGGTAAAGGAGTTACATAATAAAGATGAGATGTGCGTTAGATGCATAGTGACTAGTAAGTTAGGTAACAATGTACTGAGTTGAGCTCAAATCATAGAAACAAGAGACAAGCAAAATTACAGATTATAAAAGGGAGGGTGAGGTTAAAGACAAAGATTACGTAATCAGATGAGAGACAAAAAGGCATCCAGTTACCAAGACAAGGAAAGACTAATAACTGCTTCTTTCTGAACACATAGATCTGGTTTCAAGCGTTTGATAGAAATCGCTTCAGCAAACTTAAGGAGAATTTAGCTCTTTTGCCTATTGATAATTTTGAACAACTTTTCGACATCCACCTCATGACCCGTGTTGAGGAGATGCCTGGCGATGGCACTGTTTAAAGCATTTTTTCCCTTTAGACGTAAGCTTTTTGGTACGTGTTCAGAAAACCGTAGATATGCCCTTCTTTCTGTTCTTCCAATGTAACTGCTCCCGCAGATACAAGTAAATTTGTATATACAGTTGGAGGTAACATGAGAAGGATATCTATCGATTTTTGATTGCACCAAAGAGAAAGTTGTTCGATAGACGGGAACGAGCTTACGCTGCAGGATAGGCTATGGCTAGTGATGTACTTAGCCTTCTGTTGATCATCGCTGCAATGTTTTCAACTTTATAGTCAAGCTGAACGTAGACTGGCTTTTTACCCACTGTGATTTGTTTTACATTTGTGACTTCAGATCTTCCATACTTGTTGATGAACTTTTGAGGATACCCATTTCTCTTCAATATCTTTTCAAGGAACTCAAACTCCTCCTCTAGTTTCTCTATAGAGCATATTCTCCTCGCTCTATAGTACAGAGTCTTGACTAGACCATGTTTAAAGCAAAGCTATTAAAATGCAAGTAATGTCCTTTCCATGTGGGCTTTCGATAAATTGACTTTTGAAGACTACCGTCTTCTAGGCGTTCCATGGCTATCTCGAGGAAGTGAAACTTTCCGTCACTTTCATGTTTCATAGTGAACTCAATATTGGTGTGTGCACCATTGAATAATCTTAGTAAGTGTGAAGCATGACTTTCATTTTTGCACACTATAAATGTGTCATCAACATAACGACAGTAGGAAGATGTTTCGTGGATTGCATGCTTCAACTTTGTTCTTTCAAGGTTTGATGTGAATATATCTGCTAGAACAGGGCTAAGTGGACTGCCCATAGATACACCATCTATTTGGCGGTAAAACGTGTTGTCAAATTGGACCATGTGTACCATGGATGTGCAATTCCAATTTGACAACACGTTTTACCGCCAAATAGATGGTGTATCTATGGGCAGTCCACTTAGCCCTGTTCTAGCAGATATATTCACATCAAACCTTGAAAGAACAAAGTTGAAGCATGCAATCCACGAAACATCTTCCTACTGTCGTTATGTTGATGACACATTTATAGTGTGCAAAAATGAAAGTCATGCTTCACACTTACTAAGATTATTCAATGGTGCACACACCAATATTGAGTTCACTATGAAACATGAAAGTGACGGAAAGTTTCACTTCCTCGAGATAGCCATGGAACGCCTAGAAGACGGTAGTCTTCAAAAGTCAATTTATCGAAAGCCCACATGGAAAGGACAATACTTGCATTTTAATAGCTTTAAACATGGTCTAGTCAAGACTCTGTACTATAGAGCGAGGAGAATATGCTCTATAGAGAAACTAGAGGAGGAGTTTGAGTTCCTTGAAAAGATATTGAAGAGAAATGGGTATCCTCAAAAGTTCATCAACAAGTATGGAAGATCTGAAGTCACAAATGTAAAACAAATCACAGTGGGTAAAAAGCCAGTCTACGTTCAGCTTGACTATAAAGGTGAAAACATTGCAGCGATGATCAACAGAAGGCTGAGTACATCACTAGCCATAGCCTATCCTGCAGCTAAGCTCGTTCCCGTCTATCGAACAACTTGCTCTTTGGTGCAATCAAAAATCGATAGATATCCTTCTCATGTTACCTCCAACTGTATATACAAATTTACTTGTATCTGCGGGAGCAGTTACATTGGAAGAACAGAAAGAAGGGCATATCTACGGTTTTCTGAACACGTACCAAAAAGCTTACGTCTAAAGGGAAAAAATGCTTTAAACAGTGCCATCGCCAGGCATCTCCTCGACACGGGTCATGAGGTGGACGTCGAAAAGTTGTTCAAAATTATCAATAGGCAAAAGAGCTAAATTCTCCTTAAGTTTGCTGAAGCGATTTCTATCAAACGCTTGAAACCAGATCTATGTGTTCAGAAAGAAGCAGTTATTAGTCTTTCCTTGTCTTGGTAACTGGATGCCTTTTTCTCTCTCATCTGATTACGTAATCTTTGTCTTTAACCTCACCCTCCCTTTTATAATCTGTAATTTTGCTTGTCTCTTGTTTCTATGATTTGAGCTCAACTCAGTACATTGTTACCTAACTTACTAGTCACTATGCATCTAACGCACATCTCATCTTTATTATGTAACTCCTTTACCATTTTCTGCATACATTTATTTTGTTTTAACTTGAACTGTCTGTGTGAAAACTATATAAGCGCAATTTTCTGAGCACTGTTTACTAATTGTGGAAATTTCTGTCAACTGACAACATGTAAAATTTGCAAGTATGTTAAAACATGTCTGTACTTAAACCTCATAATTTATTTAGGCTGTAAGCAGCTGATGAGAAGCCAACGAAATAAATGATGGTAACATATTATTTTGCTAAAACTGTAGTTCTTGCTTTGTTCAGAACAATTTCTTCGGCGGGAACTCGATGCACACTCCTGACTGGATTGACCCGACTGGTGACAACTCAGTAGAACTCCGGGCAACTTGGTCTTGTAGGCAGTTACTAGCAAGGATCAGACTTATTTTCAAGAAGTAGTTTGTAGGCGTTCTGTTTGCTTATGGTTAGACCACGGTTTGATATCAGTTAGAAAACTATTTAAAGCCAGGGAGCACTGCACAGCTGTTTCATCCTAGTTTTGGACTCATGGGCAGTACTCACCCACTGGGTTTCGAACCCAGGACCTTCAGATTACAAGGTTATTTTAGTAAGGATTGATTCGTGAATGTTTTTATAATTTTAAAAATCATATTGTGAATTCATCTCCGTTACTGTAGACAGTTTTGAGTTGCTCCATGAAGATTTTTCTCTCATTGTTTCTTGGCATCTTCGGGACCCCAGTCAGACAGTGTACATCTAACTGCATGACTCAGAGTATCAGTTAAACAATAAAGCACTAGTTCCTTTATCTTGGTGTGACTATTACCTACGTTCCTAGCAGAATTCTACTCCAGTCGGTATTACTTCTCAAAGGATATCGTCTTATCATCCGAAACACATGACCACCATAATCAACAAAGCCCAACGATTATCACACTTTATTTCTGACCTGACACTACATTTAATCTCAAAATTACTTTTCGGGTTTTATCTTAGTGAACCAATTAAATGGAGACGATTGTGGTCTTAGGCCTGTAATCTTTTCATAAACTTGTCTTATGGGCGTAATTAATGCATAGTGATGAATGTTTCGTAGAATATGTTTTATGAGAGTGCTAACTTGTTGCATCTCTTTGTGCCTATGCTGTATCAGGTATTTGTGCGTCGGTGACACAGTGTGTAGGACTCTCGCCGATCATGCACATGGTCTGGGGTTCGAGCCCACACCGATATAGTCGACCTGCGAAATTTGGGCTACCGATACTTCATGCTGAAAATTCCATACTTGTACCAAAAATACGGTGTGGAATCAAGCCATAATAAAAATTAAAAAAAATAAATCAGAAGTGTAGTAATAAATAAAACTACACACCAGAAGTCGAAAAGATTACTGTAATTTTTGAAGTTGCTAGTCTGGAACTCAGTTATGAGTCAGCTTCATGTGAATAGATTTGGTAATGGTTACAAGTCAAACTGTAGTCAACTCGTAAGCATCATCCAATTACCTTTAACTCACATAAGGGTTTAGGAGGTTAAAGTAGTCAATTATAGAATTAGTAGGCAAATCGAATAAAATAAAAACGTTGCGTAATATTGTGGGAAATTTGATAGCATAGAATTTAACGTTGCAGAACAGAATTGATTTAGAATGACAAGTGGAACAAGTGAAATAACACTGGGGACAGTTCAAAGTGAAAATAGTAATAGTAACTAACAATTGACGCAATAAGGGAAGAGTATACAAATTGAATTGATCGAAAACGAAACCTTGTATGGTCGCTTGCCGCTCGCATTCAGCGCATGTGTAGCCCTGAGACTTTGGAGGATGAGTTATATTTTTTGAAGTAAATCATAATAGAAAGTGGATTCTCACCACGTTTTTTAGACAAGAATATACGGTCAAATCCTATTAAATGTAACTTATCATCCATACCCAAGAAATTACTGTACATAAGCTTGGAAATCAAAGGTGACCTATCTTCCGATATCGTGAAAAGAAGGATATCACACTCTCTGAAAAGAACATTCCCTGCTACATCTTGGGAGTAGCCTTTACCAGTTGACCATTACTATTCAATAACCTGAAGGACAAGATCCCGCTGCTGACCAACTCTGTTTGCGTTTATCAATTCACCTGCTCGTGTGGAGCTAGGTATATCTGTCGTTCGACTCGATTTTTTTCCAAGAAGGTGCTAGAACACTATCCTGCCTGGTTGAGAAGAGATGGAAGTGGAGCAATAAGAAGCGCGATCATTGAACAGAATATCTGGTCGATAATGATCACCCTATCTCTATAGCCTCTGCCTTTAAAATCATCTACAATGGCAAAAATTAATTTACCAAAGTCACTACGTACCCGACTCATCTCTATTGTTGAAGCTTTGGCTATCGAAACAAAAAAGCCAGATATCTGTGTACAGAAAAAGTTCGTTCAAACCCCTCCAACTTTCATGGTCTAAATTCCTCTATGCTAAAGTATGGTAATCCCTTATCACATTTTGGCTCATCCACTTTTTTCATTTTGTCTATTAAAACGTGGTGGAAATCCATTTTCTATTAGGATTTTCCTCAGTATCAGGACTATATATGCGTCGAATGCGAGCGGCAAGCGACCATACAAGGTTTCGTTTTCGACAATTCAATTTGTATGCTCTTCCTTTATTACGTCAATTGTTAGTTACTATTACTATTCTCACTTTGAAGTCCCCAGTGTTATCTCACTTGTTCCACTTGTCATTCTAAATCAATTCTGTTCTGCAACGTTAAATTCTATGCTATGAAATTTCACGTAAAAATAGTTAAAGCAAGACAACCTTGTTCATCGATCATGTAGGTGTTGTTGAGGAGGAAATGAATGCTTATTTTGAAAATCAAATCGTTTTTTAAAGAATCTAGCATATACTGTTATAAAACACTATTATTATCACTATTTTTATTTTTAGGGTAGAATCGTCCAACCACATGAACGTAATTCAGAACAAAATATCCGCTTACGTTGGGGAATTGGACGATTAATAGCAGAATCAAAAGAAGTAAGCTTTTGTAAATATTCATGATAAACTGACGACTTCCTCACATCACATAGATAAGTAAGTACTAAAGGGATAGCATTCTGTCTGTTTGTCTGCTTTCGACATAGAACTTTGCACCGATGTGCGGCAGTTCAAGTCGCCACATTCCATGTAGCACACAAAGCAAGAGAAGATATGCATAATAGAGACAGTAAACAGTGGTGTGAGACAAAGGAGGAGTAATAACGAAGAACGAAACAGTTTCATTGGAAATCATAAATCACAAGGAGTGGATGCATCTGCGCCACTGAGAACGATTTTGAGCCATGTCACCAATTGTTTCCAACCATAGATTTTTACCGTCCCGAGGACCCCAACCAGGAAGTCTACACCTTCCTACGTGGCTTAGACCAACTGTTGTGGATTTCATTGACTGGCGCCAAGTTTTTGTTTGACCGCCGCTAGCTTTCTTCCAGCCTGACCCTACATCCGCTAACATTTTTTTTTAATTTTTTTTATTTACAGCTTGATTCCACACTGTATTTTTGGTACAAGTATGGAATCTTCAGCATGGATATCGGTAGCCCAAACATTGCTCGTCGAGGAAGGCGATGACTAGGCATACGTAACACATGTCCTGACCACTTCAGTCAATGTAGCTACACAGCCTCGTCGATTGATTTCCCCTCCTTATCTAGCACTCGACCGATGCCTCACCTCAATATTACTCACCCTATTATACCACTTCACACGGCAGATGGAGTGCAGGCACCTATGATCAAAGACAGCTAGCCACGCTTTTCATGCCTTCCACTCTCAATGGCCAGGTCTCACAGCTAGCCATAAAGCAGGACGGAGCGGACTGCTGAGCAGTACACACGTCTTTTGGTCGCTAGCCAGCCGGATATCACGTCTACGTGAGGGACGGCGTAAACTGGTATATGCGAAACTAGCCCTCTGTATCCGTGCTGAGATTTCGTCAGAGATCAACCCGTTGACACTGGCTGATGGTACTTCCCAAATAAGTCAAGCGGTCAACGTGCTCTACTTACTTTACTTACTTTACTTCGGCTATCTCCTACGGGAGGATGAGCCGGCTTCAAGAACGTCTCGAATCATCGCTGCCCAGGCGCGGCCATTTGTAAGAGAGTTCATGAAGTTTCATGGGAATTTGGTACGAGTGATGTCCCCAGAATCGCTCGGCCTTTTGTTTGAGAGTGCAGCTCTAGCCTTTACACAACCAAGTGTGACCTACAAGGCAGTAGGAGTGGAGTAAGGAGTCCACTATCCATTGGCAGCCGATGACCGGAGTTCGGTTCATACGCCTTTTTGAATGGGGCCAGACATCCAGGACATCCAACAAGCCCTTTGTCCATACGTCTGCCGGTGAGCTCCAGTGAGCTTCATACGCCAGTCGTTGCAGGTTTGGATTCAGGGTTTAGCCATCTCCCCTAGACTGTCATCCAATGGACAGTCAACCCGGTGGAGAGCGCCAGGCATCCGCTTTCGCCCTCTCACTTTGGTGAGAAACACCTCCGCCACGTGAAGGCAGTGAGTAGGACTTCCTCAGGAGAGGCTATGTAAGACGCCCGGTCATATGGGAGCATTTCAAGAGGTGTGCGGAGGGGTGGCCGACCCGCAGCGCAAGGCACCCACCCCCGACCATCCTGAGGCTTTGGAGGCAACGTGCTCTACCACTTCACTCTCTATTTCTAAACTAGGAGTCAATGTGGTCCAGTCCTGTATCGTCATCTTACATTAGGCGGGAGCGAATCGCATGCCGAACATTCGCAGATTGCAGCTCAAAGGTGTTCAGAAGACTGTATTTTGTCAGCGTCCTCGCCCAGAAGGACTATATCGCCTGCATATTCTAAGTCAACGAGATTATTCTCTCCCTGGTAGCAAGTCAATCCTGAGTCGCTGAAGTCAGTTAGGGTTAATTCCATTAGTACATCTGTGATGAAATTGAATAGGAATGGGGATAATGGGCATCTCTGACGGACACGGATAGTCGTCACCACTTTAGGTGATAACTTGCCGTAAGCCCTCACCTGGCTGCATGAGTTCGAGTAGAGTTCCTTGATCAGTGCAATGCATTTTCTTGACATTCCCTTTACAGCCAAGCATCGCCAGAGGACCTCTCGGTCGACAGAATCGAATGCTGCCTTTAGGTCAAGAAATATAATGAATGTTGGACGCCGGTAGGAATGCCTATGTTCTAGAATCTGTCAGAGGGTGAAGATATGATCAATACACCCTCTTCCTGGTCTAAAGCCTGCCTGGCTCTCTCGTGTTTGTGCCTCCCTAGCACCACTTAGTCTACGCATGATTATTGAGCCTAGGACTTTAGATGCTATATTAGTCAAGCTAATCCCTCCGTGATTATCACAGGAAGACTTGATAATCCTTACACGTGTATAAATCTGTTTCTAGATGGCAACCAATGTACCTGTGTAACCCTTGATTTCACCTGGAAGTTAACAGGTAGCTATCTAGAATAGATCCTTCATGGGCATGCAGGGCTGTAACTATTCTTAAGATGCTTCAACTTTAAAAAGTGAACTGTTTTAAAAGTTAACTAACAACACTGTCTTCTATTTGCACATTCTTTTTTTTAGGATCCTATTATAATTCCAATATGGCATTGCGGTTTGGATGAACTTAATCCATCTGAAGTACCAAATACTTCTGTTACTCTAAGACGTATATTCGGCAAATCGCGCCGTGTAACTATCGGTATCGGTCAACCGATTAATGTGTGTGATTTACGTCAACAACTAAGGCATAATCTTCGTCAGTATGAAACATCCTCAGAATTTCGTTCTAGCATACACAGTACATTTACTCAAGTTGTTCAAAATCAAATGTATAAACTCAAAGAAGAAACGGAATATGAACATCGAAAATTTTCCTCAACGTCATAGCTATATGTATATATCTATATATTTTGTAGTACATATTTTATTTTTTACAAATAGTTTCTTTATTTTGTACTTTTATTTACCTAATTTCTGTAGCAATTATTGAGCTCATAAATTGATTACTCAGGAATGATCACACTTTTTTTTCTTTTTTCATTGTTAGTGGAAACTTTATGGTTACCGACCGATAAGTACAGTAAAACAAGATATTGATTGGCATTGAGTCATACCTTATATTGCGATGACTAGTAGAGTATTAATGATATAAGTATAAAACTTGGGCACTGTGGTAGAGTATAACTCCATTATGAATAAATTTTTGGTTTGATAGAATCACATAGTGTTATACAGTAATATTTATTGATGGCGCTTTGACCACAAATTATTACTGCTCATAATCATATCAAGGCTCTACTCACACAACTTTCTTGCTTCACTTATATACACGAGTAAAAATTGATGATTAGACAGTTGAATAAAAATAAACATAAGATAAGTGGTTAGGACTCTCGCCGACCATGCACGTGGTCCCGGGTTCGAGCCCTCGCCGACGCACACCTGATATCTATGGTCGGCCTGCGAATTTTGGGCTACTGATACCCACGCTGAAAATTCCATACTTGTACCAAAAATACAGTGTGGAATCAAGCTGTAATCAAAAATAAAATAAAGTACATTCAGAAATATTATGAATGTTATCAATAAGATGGGAAATAAGATGTTTTTATGGTAAAAATAAATAACTTGTTAGAATGTGAATTGAATACATTTTAGCATTATTTATTCTCCTTTGATTTGACTGGTGGTAATAATATCTTCCATATCTCTGGTAATTGCGTTGAATCACTTAACTCACAATTATTGCGAGGTATTTTGTAAATTATATTATTTTGTCTAATTGGGTCAACCGACAGGGTCGTCTAACCTACACAACTTGTCCTCCCTATCTGAGTGAGTTTGCAGGTTTGAATGCCATCCTAATTCCTGCTTTATTGAGCATCCTACATAGGGTCTCAGATGTCCCCTCCTTATGTGATAAGACTACTGTAGATGTTTTATATTCTTTCTTGTCTATGTTATCATTATTAGTTTCACCATTATTATTGTTTTGCTTCTGACCTTTTTTGATCTTCCTAATGAGTCTTATAGGGTAGTTATTGAATACTAACGCTTTTTCTATCTGTTTTATTTCGTCATTTAGGTTTTTTCGTGTAGTAGTTAGTGCTACTGCTCGGTTTGTTAAACACTCAACTAAGCCAGCCTTTACAGACAACGACATATGAGATGAATTAAAGTCTAAATATCTGTTAGCAGAAGGCGTTGGCTTTTTATAAACGCTAGTGTGCAGTTTACCTTCTTCTATTCGTTTTATTTGACAATCTAACATGGCTAATTCTCCTTGTTCATTTTCCGACTTAAGTGCAAATTTTATTCCCTCTACTAGTCAGTGAGTTTATATGTGTCAAGAAGCTAGAGATATGTTCTGTTTTTTAAAACTGTGTAAGTCCCATTCACATATCTCGGCCATATTTTTCCAGTAGGATTAAATGTATTTAGAACAGTATTTCCCCAGCTGTAGAGTAGTGGTACTATCTAACTGCCCAATCTTTGGGAAGTAATTGTAGAGAGAGAGGTTCTAATCCATGGCCTACTTGCCGGCTCATAGACCAGTGAGCAGCCACTGCTTCACCCCACCCCCTTAGTAAGCCTAGTGTTTTATCTTACCATCATCATATCATTCTTTTCCTTGTGGAATTTGTCCTCCGTGTTTTTCTTTTTTGACAAACTGAAATCACAGTTAAGTATATTAGCCTTAGAGTCATAAATGTCTTCAAAAACAGTTGTCGCTTGAGTTTAATTAATTAAATTAAAAGCTTTGTTACCCTCCACCATGATAGTTTGTATTATTTAAAGGGTTTCCTTTTAATATCATTGATATTTTCCAATGCTTGAGTGTGTTCATAATTCTTCTTATTTCTGCCAATGGCAACACGGCTCTCTCTCTATGTGTGTGTGTGTGTTAATGTGTACATGCATGAATGTTATATCACTTCGTAATTACCCTTTACATTTTATCGATAAGACACCTGTTGAACTTAGGAGTTATATCTGGTTTTGTAATGTATATTAATATTCCGATTTGATGTCATCATCATCATCCATTGTGTATGTGGAGTATTCAACCTAACTTATAGTTATTGAATTGAATTTTGATTTTCCCGTCGATTGATTGGACCGAAGTGCTCAGTCTCAGGTTGACATGTCGCATCCTGGATTCCACTGCTAGCCACCATCAACCAATTGTATACTGATTTATAGTTCTACAGAAGTTTTTCTAAGTTGAACAGTTGCTGCTGTTTATCATTTTTTCTCTCATAATAACCGCCAACTTTTTTGTTTTTCTGAGATGTAAAATGTAATCCCAAAGCATTCCTAGTTTATTACTATAATTTGACAGTTGTACTTCTTTTTTTACTGTACACATGCATTTTAATGGATGTAAATATATATTTTTTTTTTGAGTGCCGAAATAATTAAATTTTGTACCCACAGTTTGTTATATTATTCTTGTCATCACATTAGAATTAAAGAAATTTATTCGTTTTCTGCTCATATTGTTGCTTAATGAGTTCGAATCATTATGTTTATCACTAAATGTGTTTGCAAACCGAGATCTGAGAATTAATCTAACTTTTACAAGTGAGTTATTAGAGAATAAAGTTGCTTAAGGTTCTAGTGGGAAATCGTGACCTGCAAGTTTCATCTGCTTCTGTAGGTATAAGGACAAATACTTACTGATGAAATTGGTTGGCGGTCGTAGTATATATCGCAAATAGGCAGAAGCCTAGAATTGATGGGCTATTGGATTGTGTCTCAGTGACTGAATGGTAAGCGAGTTTGAACTGTGACCTGAAGATTTCCGGTTCAACACCTAGTGGAATCATAGGTGAGTACTACTGAGAACATATTAGTTTGTTTATTAGATGTATCACACAGTGAAACAGTATTATTTACTGGATGACGTTTCGAACAAAATTTATTGTTCATAATCATATCATTTGTGATCACACGACTTTGAAATTTGAGTTTTATAGTTTTCTTTGTCTTCTCCTATTTGTCGTAATGGTAGTAGAATTTTCCATATATCTGGGACAGGTGTTGAATCATTTCTGTTACATGTATTTGCAGTTGATTCGATAAACAAAGCTTCTGTTATCAATCTCTCCCTATACCCTGTGACATTAGATTTTAAAACTGTCATCCTATCCCATCCTATTGTATGGTTGTGTGTAACTTCATGTAATACTATGGCTGAACTATTCTCTAGATTTCTTATCTTATTATTGGGGTCAACCAATCTAGATTTAGCTAGGTTTTTATGTTCGGCTAGTCTGACTGACTGACCCCGTTGTACTACTTTGACCTGACACTCATCTCAGGCAGGGTATTAGATGAACTAAATTGTTTTGTTTTAAAGGAAAGGCTCCTTTAACCGACAAAGCTTGTTTCTAATTGAGTTTGTGGGTGGTTTGAATGCCAGCCACTTTTATTCCTGCCTTGTTAAGAATTCTGCGAAAGGTAGTTTCCGAGGTTCCTTCCTTGTATGGAATTACTACTGATGATTTAGATTCCTTATTGTTGGTGTTGTCTTGCGCATATTTGGCATGCATGTCGTTATTAATATTAGTATTATTATCACTATCACTACTAACATTATTTATTTTATTTCTACATTTCCCTACATATTTCCTGACTAATTTATCAGGGTAATTATTAAGTTTCAAGGCTTATCTTATATGTCTCACTTCCTGTATTAGATTTGGTACTACTTAGTTTTTGTGCTCTGTCACTTGAACATTTCACCAATCTTATTTTTACTGACATAGGATGGAATGATTGGAAGTCCAAATATCTGTTTGAATGTGTGGGTTTTCTGTAAACACTAGTGTTTAACTTCCCATCTTCTTTCCTTTTTACGTTGCAATCTAACATTGGAAGTTCCCCTTCCTGACTTTCCAATTCATAATTGAATTGCCTCTACTTTCGAGTTGATGTGTTCGAAAAATCTATCTATATTCTGCGTTCTAAGTACAGTGAATGTGTCATCTACTACCTCCACCATACTTTCGGGGTGGGGGTGAACGTTTCAATCGCTATGTTTCCCACCTATCCATGAATATATCTGCTACAACCGAGATATTGCTGATCCCATGGCAACTCCCTCAGTTTGTTTGTATATTTTCCCTTGGAATTTAAATACTGTAGAAGTCAGGCAAAGCTGGACTCCCAGCATTATGTCCTCAAGTGGCACTTTTGTCCTAAGTTCGATTTCCTGGTCAGAAATGAGTTCGTTTCTGGCTGCCTCTATAGCCATATTTATTAGTATTACTTGATATGGAATTACTTACTACCACAGTGCCCAAGTTTTACACATATATTGACTACTGAGAACAGTCTTAAGCATAGATGAAATAACTGTCTAGTATTTTCTAGTTTCCATTCGTTCTCCAACTCCAGTCAGTTCGTTGATTACTCTCTAAGATTTTAAAGTGGAGATAGCCTTCAACTCGCACACATAACTTAATTCGGAGTTCTTGAATCAAGCATTTCGGTGTTTTTATATCCTTATAGGGGATACATTCAACGTATACGAAGTTATTTCACTCCGTCTGTTAAATATAGTTTGAATTGTAAGTAATGTGCAGATAGTTGATAACTTTGAGAAATGTGTGGATATGAAATTAAGTATGAGTTGAATCTACACATGTTTAACAGGTACTTGAAAACTGGTATCTAGAGTTTCTTGGAATCAGTAATACTTACCCTTACTAGGTTTTGTTGTATGATTATTATTATATTTCATTTCTATTAATAAAGACAGTATTTGTTAAATGTAACACTGAATCATCTTGAAACTAGATTCTTTTTCTATGAACCTTTCACACAATGCATTGTAAATACCAGAATTGGTATTATTTACACTAATGACCAGTAATCATTGCCATCACGAAGTGTAGGATCTTAACTGAATTCTTCGTTTAAACTGTTATTTTGCCTGGGTGTAATGTATTGTTATTAAACTCTATTGATTTTACAAAAGTAATTAAGTAGCCAGTATAGTTCATTTACCAAACTGGTACTTTCTAATTCAAAGTGACTGCTAGTCCGTATATTTTCGACTGCATATGTTGAAACTAGTAAGGGTGCCAGGGATTTGAATGTTTTTAAAGGATTTTCGTTTATATAAAACTGCGCAACAAAAGGTAATATCTACTCCATATCACGATTTATCCAGTAGCCTACCGAATAAAACACAGATGGAAATAAACCGGAGTTATATTTGACTTTAGGTGATGAAAATGGAAAAATAACTTAAGTTTACGTAATGACGTCATAAAGTCTCATTTTGCATACACTATCCACTATACAATGAGTCCAACCGGCATATATTTATTCATTACTGCACCTAGTAAACTTAACTGGCAGTTTCTTTGTACTGACACTGTATTCTCTCGAACCTCAATGAAAGTCGCCATTTGTTTAAAATCAATTACTATGTCCTACCTGATATTCTTTGCCAGAGACATCAGTGGACTTGATGACATCACTACTGGAGAAGGTGTGGAAAGAGGGCAAGGTACTTGCGGATTGGAAGAAAGGCTACTTATTCAAACTGCCAAAGAAAGGAGACTTGAGTCAATGCAAGAACTGGCGTGGCATTATGCTTCTATCCATCCCAAGCAAAATACTAAGTCGCATCATCCCGGAGAGAATCAAAAACACATCGGATGAAAAACTTCGACCGGAACAGGCTAGATTATGGGAAAGAAGCCATGCGTCGATCAAATTGCAACACCACGTATCATCGTTGAATAGAGCTTGGAATGGCAGTCAGCTATCTATCTGAATTTTATTGACTTTGAAAAGGCTTTCAACAGCGTCGATCGAGAGGTGATTTGGAATTGGCAGTAAGACAAGGCTGGCTGCCTACTATCTTCAATGATTCTCCTGAATGCGGTAGACTGGATAATGCGACAGGCGGGCAGCGAGGAAACAGGCATAAAATGGACCCACACAAAAACACTTGGGGGATCTAGACTTCACCGATGATATATGTTTGATTTCCCACAAACTAGAAGATACGCAAGTGAAAAGCAACAAGTTGGCAACGGAAGAAGAAGCATCAAAGACAGGACTTCGTGTGAACATAAAGAAAACAAAGGTGATGAGGATTCCTGGCCAACAGTAACAGCAACAACAACAGAAGACAATCAACATACATGGGAGAAATCTGAAAGAAGCAACCTCCTTTACCTATCTGGGAAGCATGGTTTCAACTGCAGGTGGACGAAACTGATGAGGATATGAAAGCGAGGATCAAGAAAGCAAGGCAAGCTTTCATTACTCTCAAGTCTGTGTGAAGGTCAACAGCACTCAGCATCAAAAATAAAATCCGGATTTTCAGATCTAATGCGAAGTCAGTGCTACTTCACGGATCAGAGACTTGCGCGTCACGGAGGCCACTCTGAACAAACTACAGACCTTCATCAACAGCTGTCTTCGCTCAAGATCAGATATCCGGTCAGAAAAGATCAGTAACAGGGATCCCCGGCAATGAGCGAACCAACCCAGCAGGAACCGATTGTGCAACAAATATGCAGGAGAAGTGGAGGTGGATTAGCCATACTCCAACATCACTAGACAAGCCTTCGAGTGGAACCCGAACGGAAAGCGGTGAGTTGGTCGTCCAAGGGTGACTTGGAGGAAGTCATGAGAAGAGGAGATGAAAGCATATGGGCAGATGTGGAGCCAGGCGAAAACGTTGGCAGAGAACAGAACGTAATAAAGACATGTGGCTGAGTTCCTATGTTCTCTAGGAACTAACGGTAACGATATAATAATACACGATATTCTTTATGCAACATGTGAAACAGCTCTTCATGTTTCTGGCAAAGAAACGAAAATCTTTTGATAAAAATATTTTAAGAATAACTCATTTTTATTATTATTTTCGTTCTGCTTTTTCAAATTTGTTGCAAATGTTGAAGATTCAAAATATTCTTCTATACTTCACTCTTGTTTCGAACGTTTGCTCTGATAATAAGGTCGTTTTATCAATGCAGCAGTTTGTTGATCTACCGGTGATATTCCAGTGAAATCCAAAGTTATTAGATTCGGTAGAATAGAAAGAACTGTGTGAAAATAACCCTGAAAAGGAACAGAAATCTTTTATTAAACTGCTGAAAGTGAAGTGTGATTTTGTGCGGTGTCTAATACTAGAATATTTTACACAGTGTACGTGTTTGTTAAGCGCCTGCATAGAAACTGGTGAGCAAAATACTTTATCAGATACGTAAATGAAGAAAACAGAGAGAATCAGAATAAGAGTGGAATTAAGAAAACGAGGTAATAAGGAATAAAAAATATACGAGACATTTGAAACAAAGACATCTGAAAGAGAAGGAGAGCTTATTTTTATTCCATGACTTTTCTTCAGCAGCTAACAGGGTAAAAGTTATTATGAGTGGATGTAAATATGTGACATTAGAATCACTTCAATTCAAATGATACTTAATAATTCTTACCACACTAGTGAAAAAGGTTGCATGAATTTAAAAGAACTATCAAACTAGAGTTTAGATGCATAGTATGGTGTAAGGTCCGTAGATAATGAGGGGAGTGGAAAAAAATATGGTGAGGAAACACAAATTATTACGTAAGTGCACAGATAATTAATCTGCAAAGACATTGCTGTGAAGGAATTCGCTTTTATTGACGAAGTCATGTTTTGTGCATTTTACCAGCCTTTTCCAACATTCTTTATATTAATCAAGAAGACACTTCACTATCTTGCTCCTTATTTAACAGTGATTTTAAGCTGTAGAAACCATTTCTGAGTAATCATATAAAATATGCCCCATATACCTCTTATTACTTCACAACTGACTGCTTTAGGGTTCAGTATATATATAAATATGACTTCGCCATTAAAAAGTTTCTCCGCCGAGTTGTCTTCTAAATTTTCTCTAGCTCAAGGGTAGTCTTTGCCTTTTAGACTGCAAAGGTTAATAATGATTTCAGCCTAGTGGGTAGAAACGAACACTAGTTAAAGATTTTGATGAGCCCAAAAACATCTGGTAATGCAAGGTTGATCATACGCTTTTTCGGTATACAAGTATTAGTTTGAATTAGTTTGCTTATGAAGACAGAATATATCTGCCACATTTTACTTGGTGTCGCCAAGTGAGAAAATACACTGTCATGTATTTCTTGCCTGTCATTTACAGTCACAAATTGCAATTGGCTTTTAACAACACCTAATTTATTGTGGAAAAGATATTTGTACTCCTTTGGTTCACAATTAATGTGTTTATTAAAAATTAAATGTTTGATTGCATTATTTGTTCACATTCCCAAACCTCATAAGCTAGTCCTGGATAAATCCTGACAGGGTGATTGCTGATAAATGACCTCTTGCCAAGAAACTTATATTTCACTTGCTATTTCAATTTTGCTGCTCAGTATTTAATCATCCTTACGTAAGGGATTAGATGCGTTTGACAGTAGGTATCTTCAGAATTTTGCTGTTGAGTTTATGCTGTATTAATTGATCAGGATATGAATGATTGTATGTATGTAAGCAATTTAATATTATCTGAATCATTGTTGAATCAGATGTAGCTCATCAGTTTAAACACGACTTTCAGTCAATAAGTCCCTGGTCAACATATTCTTCTATATATCTTTGGTGATAAGATGTCACACGCCCTCACAAATTACGTGCAGCTTTCATCCGTTTACACGGAGAAGGTTGGATCGGTTAACACTGGCAGGCAGAAATCAATTAAAATTCCTCAACCACAACATCGATTAATTAGGGTTTCATGGCATAAGCATCCTATAGTATCTCATCCAGTTGCTTAAAGTAAGTAAAATTATAACCAATGACGGTGATTTTATGGATCAAATAATAATAATAATGTGGTAAAGGTTTGAACGAAGTTAATAACGATGATTATAATAATAACAAAATATTGATAATAAGGCTTATATAAGTGAATTCGAGAGAGCAATCCTAGTCTTTGTATACAAAGAATTTGTTCTACCTTTGTCTCTCCCTTGGCCTAGGTGAATTCTATTCAAAACCCTCCCACCCTTTCTTATCATCCCTTTCCTTCGTACTTTTATGATATTTATTTAAACTCTGATTATCGTTCCATTTGATTTGACCTAATTTATTTATTTATTGTTATTGTCTACATATATGCATATACTTTGTTATTCTTATCACCTATATAAGCCTTATTATCAATATTTTGTTATTATCATAATCATCGTTATTAACTTCGTTCAAAACATTTACCACACTATTATTATTATTATATCATCATTATGATTATTATTATTATTTGATCCACTAAATCACCGTCATTATTTATAATTTTATATATATATATAATTCTATGTAAATTAGAGTAAAGCCTGAAGAAGATCTAATTGAAAACAATATTGTTCGCTTATATGTCTTGTTCTAATATTATAAATGGGAATATTTAAAGACTTAAAGTAAGTAAGCCAAGAACATGTATGATCCACTATCAGACATAGAAGTTAACATATCACTTATTACTTCAGAGATAAATTAACGCTAAGTATTTTCGGCATTTTTAAAAACCAAATGAAACTTCTGTAAACTCATAATTCGACTACCTTTTCTTTCTCAACTGGATTTCCGTGTAGTGTCAGCTTTGACAATCCGGAAAGCGGTTTGAGCCTTGAAACATCTTGGAAGGTTTTTATCTCGTTTCCATGCATGTAAATTATCCTCAAACTTTTTAGGTTACATATAGTCTGAACTGAGATTGAAAGTAATGAAAAATGTCATCGTACATTCGGGACAGCAGATATTTTGTTGCAAGACACGTCAAGCCACGTCAATTTAGAAATATTTTCAAATAGCTCACCAACAACTGAAGGTATGCTTGCGATATCTTCTATTTGATTATTGTTCACCTTCAAAGTTTGCGTGATCCATTTTCCACTCCGGCTTTTGTGGATCACAAGGTTAATACCGGTTGTAATTCTAGGTTCACATTTTGGTAAATCTATCAAAAAATAATAAAAGTGAGAGGAACTTCATTGCCTCTAATATCCTTGATGTTCATAAACGAAAAGTCCAAAGGTTGAAACGCCAGGATTTTAATATTAGGTGTGGGTTTTTGTACTCTTTTAGGCTCACTAAAGAAAGTTTACTGGATTTTCATGAATTACGTTTCTGTCATATTGAACTTCTAATCTGTGAGAACACATAAGCTGTAAACTGTTCTTCTGTTATTTGAAAGAGTGCCAAATGAATATTTCAGATTATACCTGTGGTCTACTCAGCCAATAGAGTAATCTAGGACAATGAACAAGAAAATAATGCGGTTCAATTTCACAGGAAAAGAGGAGTTGAAATGATGTAAATAACCCAAATGAAGAGTAACGATCGAATGATGTTTGGGTAAGTCTAAAGTTAAAAATCAGGACGAAAGAATTGGAATTCAAAAAGCCGTACGAACTACTTGTTCGAAAAAATAGAAAGTAACGTCTCCATAGCATAGTGCAATAAAACAACTGCTGCACTTATTATGGTTACAGAAGTTTGGGAGTTTCTTAGGTCTTTTCATGTGGCCTATTCAATATCCTGATTACGAGCTGGTATAAACCAGTGATTTCTTTGAGATCGCTTCTTGATTGTGAGGTAGAGGTTCCAGATCTTCGGTGAGCTTCTCCGTAGTAAGTCCCGCCACTCGACTGCTTTAGCTCTGGTAGACTCCAAGAGTAGTGGTGCGGGGATTGATCAAGATGTGGTTTGTAGTATGCAGTATGTTAGGACTGTATTGCTGCCGTGAATGGAGTTTGACCTAAATCCCGTTGGTCATTCAGTGTAGTCATAAAAGCAGAATAGTAATAATAATAGGTTGTAGTGTGGATAATATAGGTTGAGATAAGTGAAGTAATAAAGGTGACCTAAGGAAAAGATAGAGTAGTCGGTACAGTGAGAGAAGGTAGAACAGGTCATGGGGATTTAGTTTGTATGCTTATCCACTGACAGTGTGGTTTTAAGTTTTATGAGGATAAGCCATTGAGACACAAACCTTGCATTTCTGCATGATTGTCTAGCTTCCGCTTAAAAATCTCTACAGATGGCGCTGTAGTCACGGCCGCCGGTAAAGCGTTCCAGAGACGGCAAACTCGAAGCGAAAAGAAATGTGATCGCACTCGAGTCTTTGGTCTCTGGTGTGCTATCCTTAGCGGGTTACCTCGTGGAAGCCTATAATCACTTAATGGCAGGATGCTTTTATTTGGGTGGGCCTGGTCATTTAAGATCTGGTAGACGGTGATGAGGTCTCCCCTGTGCCTACGGTAACTAAGTGTGAAAAGACCTAATTTCTTCAGTCTTTCCTCGTATGATTTGTTGAGGAGGCCAATCACCCCTTTTGTCACTCGTCTCTGGACACTTTCTAGAATGTTAGCATCCCTTTTGAGTAGCGGGGGTGCAATGATATTATGCACCTCAAGATGTGGCCTCACATATGTCTTATGTAACCTTAAGAACAGTTCGGGAGTGTGAGCTCCCAGCTGCCTATGCATAAAGTGTAAAGTTGCGTAGGCTTTGGCGACGTCCCTCGCGTAATTTCCACTGGTGTCCAGCTTTTCTGTTAGAATAAGACCTAGATCGCGCTCTGATGGAACACAACTCAAGTTCTGGCCACCAAGGGTGTAATTTACACTCTGTGACCTGCCGGAATGAAGTTGCACTACTTTGCACTTCTTTAGGTTGAAAGGCATTCCGTTAGCCAGAGCCCAGTTTCCCAGAGTTTGCAGGTCAGCCTGCAATCTGTCTGAGTCTTCCGATGAGTTTATTGCTCTCCAAATCTTTACGTCGTCAGCGTAAAGAAGCGCAGAGCAGTTTAGTTGGGGGGCAGGTCGTTGATAAAAATCAAAAACATCAACGGCCCTAGGATAGAACCCTGAGGAACCCCTGATGCCGAGGTGTGCCAGGATGATCGGATGCGGTTGACTTTGGTGCAGAATTCTCTCTCGCCTAAGTAATCTTTCAGCCATGCGAGAAGTGCTCCAGAAACAACCGCCTCGCTTATTTTGTGAAGGAGCAGACCATGGTGAACTGTGTCGAATGCTTTCGCAAAGTCGAGAAAGATCACGTGGGCTGGTACCTTTTTGTCCCAGGATAGTGTCCAATCGTTCCAAGCTAGTAGAAGATTTGTCACGCAGGATCTTCCCCTCCTGAAACCGTGCTGCGCTTCGTGAAGAAGGTTAGTCCCATCGAAGTATTTTCTCATGTGGCCGTCAATAAGACTTTCCAATATCTTCGATATCACTGGAAGTAGAGCAACTGGTTTGTAACTGGTCGCATTCTGCCGGTTCACCACCCTTGAAGATAGGGGATAGGATTGCTCGTTTCCATTCACATGGAAGTTTCCCTACATCAAGGGAGTGTTGGAACAGATCACTTAGGGGTTGGCAGAGACTTTCTGAACACTGCTTCAGGACGGATGGTCTGATGTCATCACAACCTGAAGACTTTCCCGAAGCCAACCTTCCCAATTTTGCAAGTACCATAGCCGGGGTAATTTGAAATGTACCCAGCAGGTTTTCGCGCGTTGGTTTTGCGATGTAATCTGGATGTTCTGTGGGGTAATATCCTCGTTACTGTTTAGTTGCCTGTGAAAGGCTAGGCTGAATGTCTCTGCCATTTCAAGATTAGTGAGAGATTTCCCATCAGAACCCACTGGACTGCATGCTCCCTGGTTGGTCGGTTTTATTTCAGCCATAAACCTGTATAGGCTGTCAATGTAGTTGAAGATTGAACGATCAGTTCATGGTTGTTTTCTCAAACACAACTTCCCTATATTTTCGCGGAAGCACCAATCAGCCAGTCATCGTCTCACCGGTCGCTGTTCAGAAAGAAGTCAGGACAAAACCGTCAGAAATCTTAGTTGTAAAGTTGGCTATATGTTGGTGTTAAAATAAATAACTCTCGAGTCGCCAATCTGTGTTCTGGTTTTTGCGTCCATTCGTACTAAGCGTTTCTAGAGAGCTTCGAAAAACAGCTTGAGGCCCAGAGCAGCAAGAGCTGGGCATTAACGGTTTAAAAGAAGTGGCTGACACATTCTGACAGTACGCTGTTAGTTTCTGACAGATTCAAACAGCTGGTTGCAGATTGGACAGTCACCATTCATCTTTCCTGGTGCCGGTCAAGTCCTCTTTGAACAAGCAATATCTGGAACGACTTTGGAATTGGGTCAAGTTCAACAATGCCTGGGTCAAAGAAGAGACAGAGTGTCTTGGATGCAAACAGGAAAGTAAGTCATGGTGACCTCTCTGTTAATTGTAACGATGTGTCTGATGTTAAGTATGACATGGTTGATGTTACTGTTTCGCCGTTCAGGGATAATAGGAACATCAAACTCCCTAAATTTGAACCACGATGTTTTGATGGAAACCCGGCTGATTATTTACAATTTGTAAAGGAGTTTGAGATCATGAAGCTAAAACAGGGCTACTACGAGGCTATGAGCATATTACGTCAAAGGTTTGGAAGACCTTCGATGATTGCAGGGAAATTATTCGAGGCTGTTAAGGGTAATGGCGATCAATTACAGGATGACTCCCAGGCACTCACTGAGTTTTTAGATAATTTGCTGATTTACAAGAATGCATTGATTTCGACGAATTGCATGAGTGACCTCAACTCGAGTTTTATACTAGAAGTAATAGCAAGACGCCTACCTACTCGACTGCAAAGGAAGTGGGTGAAGATAAGCTCCCGTATGGAGGATGAGGGTATCGAGCCAAAGTTCGATGATATTCTGAGACTGGTAAACGATAGTGTCAATCAATCAATGAGCAAGTTCGCCAGTCTATTTCATCTCACCCCTAGAATAGAGCAGTCCGAGAGCAAAATTCAATCATTCATGACGAGTAGGCCTCAGAGAGGTGGATATCGAGAAGGCTCCATGATGTCTAGTAATGCATATAGACCTAATGAGTGTAACAGGTTTCGTAGTACATCTTCAACAGATAAGTTGCAAGCTGCAAGAGAAACACGGTTGTGTTTTACACGTTTGCGAGAAGTTCACACAAATGCGAACTGTGAACCAGTGAGCAAGTTCAGTGATAAGATAAGTGTGAAATCAAGTTCTGACTCCGAATTGTGTGACGATAACGGTGTGGCGAAGAAGCCTGTAGTTGCAACTGGTAAGCCATTGTTGAATACGATGCCACAGATGAGAGTTACAGTCCGGAGGACAGTTCTGACTCCACAAGTTTACAAGGTATAACTAGTCAGAGTGAAGACATAAAACCTTTCATGATTTGTGAAGAGGAACCAAAATTCTCTACTACTTTATTAAAGAGTTTGAAAATTATGAAATTGACGGTAAAGTGAATGTGAGCCACGTCCCATAAACCGTTAATGCCCAGCTCTTGCTACGCTCGGGCCCACGCTGTTCCTTGCTGTTTTTCAGAAACGCTTAGTAATAACGGACGAAAAACGAAAACACCGATTGGCCGCTTGGGAATTCTTTATTGTAACACCAACATATAAAAAAAATATTTCTATTAAGGTCTGTGAACAAATATTACAATAATAAATCACAAGATTACTTCTGATGGTTGTCTCCTGACTTCTTTCTGAACAGCGACCGATGAGACGATGACTGTCGTATTGATGCCCCCGCGAAAATTGGGGAAGTTGATTTTGAGCAAACAACCAAGAATTGATCGTTCAATCTTCAACTCCATTGACACTACCCGGCAAAAAGGGATCCAACCCTTTTTTCCTTCACGACCAATGCACGTTGGCTTGGATGCCATTGCGAGAACCTGGGTCACACGGACAGAGCTGAAATGGAAAACAAACAGAAAAGCCAACAAAACACAAGCATACCCACAGCACAATCTCACACATCGCTGACGATCTGCGCCTTCCAGTTAAAAGTGTCCTCTTGATATCTTGAAACACAATCGCCACTTGCTAGAATGACTCTCGCAGAATGCAACGTGACCATAGCACCAACTCATGATACTCTACGCACATCCCCTTATCTACTCACTACCAATTACCACTGCAATCGCTTGTCACTCATTCTGCCTCAGTTCTAGTAGCGGTGACGCATGCGAGCCTCAGTCGTCTACACTCTTTCTCCCCGGTGTGTCGGACCGCAGCTAACAATTATCTCCGTGTGCATTTCATTTTCAGCAATAGCCTAGCCTCCCCGGCGTATACGACCCATCTGCTGTCCTTAACATCAATCTATTCATTCATGGATGTAGAAGACTCGAAACAACTTCAGAAGTAATCACGACGAAAATTTTAACAAAATTACGCAATAACAACAAGATACGAAAACAACAAGTAAACACAATGAATCCAAAATACACCAATTGAAATGACACACCACACATATATACAAATAGTACAAACAACCTCGCCGATCATGTCTTGGTGGAATTCCTTTGAAGAATTGCAGGACTTACACCAGTACGCCTACAACCCTTC